CTTAGTTTTTCCCGGGCTATTGAAGAAAGACTATAACATATTACGCAGGATGTTAAAGGTTGTCAGCAGGGTAAGCGACGTGCCACTTAACCAGCTTGTTAATATTCTGGTCGACAGGCCCATGGACTCATGTGAAAAATGGGCCAAATCCATTTTATCTAACTCACACCACCCTCTTCGTTCACAACTCTCCGCTTGTATCTCATCAGGCAGAACCAGAAGTCTATATAGAAAACTATATGCTCGCACCAGCAAGTACAAAAACTCAACCATACCCTACTTAGCTCGTGTTCTGTGTGATAAAGAAAGCATTAGGCGTGACACCTATAATTCATTAAATAGTCAGTAGTACAACTGGATCTCGTCTTTCCAACTCATATCATTTATAGGTACAATATTTTCTTTTCTCTCTTTCTCTCTTTTCCATTATGTGCTGCTTTGTTTCTTTCTCTCGCTTACGCCAGTAAGTATTACAGCTCCTACTTTTCTATACACCTTCAAACACTATTTCAGCTTTACCTTTGCTACCGACATGCCAATGTGTTGATGTAATAGTGAACTGAAATTTCCTTAATCTATGTAGAATTCTGTTTATTGATAATGTACTAAGTGGATGCAATACCGTAGTAAAAATGCTGAGAATTCCATTCTGTATCACAAGTACTGTTTTGGAATAAAGCAAATTATTATTATTAAAAAAAAAGAGTGGAAGAGAAAAAATGACGTGGACTGGTGAAAGCCTTCTGAAAGCCAGTCAGTCAGCCAATGCATCTTCTTTGGATGAAAGCAAAAATAAGCATGGACTGTCCGCACAATATTTGAGTCTGGGAAGGCTGGTCAGAATTCAAAGAAAATGAAATGTGGTAGACAAGTACCAGTGCCTCCATTTAGTTCAGAGACTTGGCACGTCGTTGAAAGCATTCCCAACACTCTGCAGACTTTCATCAACACTTGTTTTCGTTCCATACTAGAAATCAGAAAGTATAAAGTATATAAAGGAACCCTGACAACTAACTAACCTGTTGCCCAACAAATATGCCGAGGAAAATGGAGGTAGATTGGGTATATTCTGTAAAGATCGTGACATCATCTGCCAGACGTTCGAGTTGAGGCTGAATGAGAAAAGTTAAGTTGGGAGTCCGATGGTGTTATTGGAAGAGATAGTGTGAGAACGATATGAAATCTTATAGGCGATCTTTGAGCCAAATAAAAACGATTACGGAGAACAGAGTGAAACAGAAATGTGCTGTTGAAGCCTTATGTTTCAGCCGTAAGCCAAGGGAATAATAATGTTTCCAAGTGAATACAACTGGTTATTCAGTGAGCATTGGAAGATCTGTTCGAAAATTATGGTAGTTAGATGATACGCATACTCTGTTGACAAATGGTCTTACAAACTATAAATAAGTAAATGAACTCTAACTTTAGTGCGCCGCTAGTTCAGCAGCAGAATGCTGATCAACTACACATGTGGTCAGATATTCGATCTCCGCTCGATGCACTCCTAAACCCCGCTAAGCTTGTTGGTAAAGGGAGAAAGTTGAGCGTGAGGCTAACAACCCCATACCGTAAAAATAAATTCACTGTCACCGAAATTTGAGAGGCTCAGCTTGAAGCCCTATATTCCCCTTGGAACGCGAAGCAATGAAGTAACTTCAGAGTAAGCTATATCGTGAGAATACTCAATTAAAAGAGTGACAAGAGGCACAAGGACAATTGTTTCATTTATTAATTCTGAGCAATTTTACAACCTTGATTTAAATATGTACGCAAAACAAGGGTTACTCAACATGCATGTATATACATAAATCTATATACTAAGAAAACGATTGGTATTTGCATATTTTCATTTCAGTTATGTAATTTTCGGTGAAGCAGATTCAACGTAATCACAAATCTTATTTCAGCACAGGTGGAATAAAACTATTTTGATTTCAAAATGTATTTATTTTAGGTGCTTTGTTCTCGTATATATTTGAATCCTTTGCTAGAACTATAATGATATTGTGGCGTGTGCTACTGAAAAAATTTATTAGTAGTATATAAAGGGACATTCATTCACATAAAAATATCAAACAGCAGAGAGATAGACTTGACGTCAAAGGTAGCAAATGATTCACCGTTGCGGCAAGATTTGGGAGACATCAAAAGAAGACAAAGAAACACAATACGAAGGATAAAAGTAGCTCAGCATGGAAGATCTGTGCAAATGACGATTTTCAGATAAGGCGTACACTATTTCGCTATATTTGTAGATCAAATTTCAAGTAAACATTCCATTACTAAGCGTCTTGTCGTTAACCGTTACAATATTACATTTACTCTGTCACTAAACAACTGGTGTTTATTTTTTCATCTCAGGTATTTTAATAACCTACATCACTGTTGTTGTTCGGATAGTGTTTGAATAATTATAGATAAGTAGTGTTTTTAGAAGCGAGGATCTTTGAATACAACTTAAAATGCTTTTACCCACTAGTCAAACTCATTTAGAATTTAACAGAATACTAAGGAGTACTGGACAGCTGTTTCGTCCTAGTTTGGGACTTGTCGGTAGTGCAAACCCCCACTGGGGTTCGAACCCAGGACCTTCCGGCTGCAAGTCAAAATTGTAGACCATTCAGCCGTTGGGATCCGACTCAATTTCCAATGAATTCTAACTTCTACCAGTCCGTGATTTTAGAATTTTATTTTCTAGAATTCATGGACCATTGAGTTGGGTCACAGTGACTGAATGGTCTACAAGGTTGAAATGTAGGCCGAAGTTCCTCGATTCGAACCCTGTTGGGGTCATATGGTGTAATGCTGAAGAGTTCCAAGCAGTAGAACAAAACAGCTGTCCAATACTCTCTGATTTTCAATGGTTTTCTAACTGTCATTAATCCATGGTCAAACTTGAAACAAGTCAGATCCCTACAAATTAAACTCTTGAAAATCAATAGAATGTTCAGTTTTATTATTTTTTGAACTGAATTGTAGCATAGTGAAGTTGCACTAAACAAATGAAGGTGTTCAACGATGTAAATAATTTCATAGTAGAAGTAAATTGCTTTAATATGCTGTTTTATTGATACACTCACAACATACAACTCACTGTTATGGTTCTTACCTATGCCTATCATAATTCTGTATATTTTCTGTAAAGAAGTACAATCACAGGTACAACAATCAAAAAAACAGGTATGAAAATAATACTTAGAATTTACGTATGCTTATGAATTCGAATTGATGGATTCACTGAACTGAACTAATCGGTTTCTTGTCATATCGTCTTCTTGAAAGAATTCATATATAATTTCCCGCTTTTCGCTTTCTAGTGACTTGTTTAACTATACTAAGTAATGTTATTCAGGAAGTATATTTATTCAGATTAACAATTTGCAAATTAGTTAGCGATTTGCAATTTACACAGTTTGACAGCAGCTCAATCACCTATGCAATCCAAATTATTCAGATCACAGTGTGTATTCTGCTTGATACCATAAAGGCTTATCAAGAAAGTAAGCATATTTGCAAACAAACTACATACCACTGATTGGTTAAGATGATTATTTTTATACCATTCTGTTTCACTCTTATACTTATCAAAACTCTATTGATTCTCTCCACTCATTTTCTTGTCTACCTTTGTGTGCTATTTGGAACGTGGCAACTCGAACTGCTGCACTTCTGTGCCAAGTTCTATGTTGAATCCAGCCAGCCATACCACTCATCTCATCAATCAGTAGTATATTGTCCTAAGCATGTTTATTCCTAATGAGGACTTATTATGGTGATATATATATATATATATCCTTCAGCTGATGATGGTATTTCTACTAAATTTTAAGACCAACATACATTCTTTACTTACAGACTATTGGCGTTTGGATTGGTGGATTTCGAACTTAAGTCTCGTTGAGAACATCATTAGCTACCTGAATCCATGTATGGTAGCTCGACAGTATCCTGATGAAATGAAATAAGAGCCACTGACTCCAATTTTAAGCATCATCACATCTCCACTTTGTCCTGTCTTCTGCCGTCCCCTTCAGCTTGACACACTCTTCGCTTCTCATTCGGATTCCACTCGAGTGGTAGCCTGGCGTACGATGTCATTCTACAGTCTCCTCAATGTATGCCCGATCCACCTCCATTTTTTTCTACATATTTGTTGAGCGATTGGCCCTTGGTTGATCTGTTGACAAAGTTTCTTGTTACTAATTCTTTCTGCCAATTTGATCTTCACTATGGAGCCAGCGAAGTCAACTTTTGATAAAAGTCTGCAACCTGTTGGAAATCCCTTTCTTGACACGCAGTGCAAGTTTCTGACCCAAATAGAAGGATCGAATTGGCATTGGTGTTGAAAATGTGAATCTAATTCCTTATACTGAATCAGTGCAGAAGATTTCCAAACTGGTTTCAGGTTGATGAAGGTGCGTTTTGACTTTCCGATTCTGACTATGATATCTTCATCTGTTTCGCCTGTGGTTGAAACGATGCTTCCTAGCCAGATAAGTGAAAGTGGTAATCTCTGTTAGATCTCTCCCGTTGATGGTGATTGGTGCTGGTTGCTGTTGTTGTTGCGGTTCGTTGGTTATCTTCATCACCTCCGTCTTCTCTATGTTCACTTGGAGTCCTGTCTTCTCTGCTTCAGACAGTTTGTTGGTTTCTGCAATATATATATTGTTATCTACGATAACTGCATTTGTCAAGTTATCCAAGTAAAAATTAAAAGCAAAATGTGCCTACCTTTGAACTGTATAAATGATTTGTAGCGTTTACAGAAATCTGTATCTTAACAGTTGACTATTATTCATATTTTGGCATAAATTTGTTCAGTTACATAAAGGTGATATTTTTTTGGCGCTTACGTGAAACAATTCAAAAGTGAAGCCATTAATATCACATACTTTTCATATTGGAATAGTAAAACAGTATTTATTGAACATTGAATTTACATTAAAACCAGTCTGATGACTACCATTCTCAAAAAATTATGAGCAAATTAAAAAAAAGTATCCAGATGAAAATGTTCAAGGTGTGAAAATTAACGATGAATAATAATTAAATAATTTAACCGAAAAGGAAGTTATTGATGCATATATTCTCATAATTATTGCAATTTAATTAAGAATATTTTGTCTCTTGTATGTTTGAATATGCATACGTGATAATTTAACACAGCCTACTTCATCATCATTAATTAAATAATTCCTTTCTTGAATAAATCCGCATTTCTTTCTTATACCTAATGTCCATCGATGTATACGTTGTTTTATTGCATAACTACACGCTATTTGATGAGAATTTCTTCCTTGTGGATAAATAAAATATCCTTTACATTGTGGTTTAGCGATACAAGGCCAGTGCATCGTTTTACTTAATTTTTAATACTTATAATCTTGACAGTTTCATTTATAAGCTTTTTTTTAAAAAAATAAAAGAAATAATGGTGTAGTTGAATTATGAGTAATTGGTTAATTCAGTTTGAAAGTCACCATTAAATGCACTAAAAAGAATTAAGAGAAAGAAACTATTATTATTATTATTGGTCCGTTTTACTAATAAACTTTTTAAGACTAAAGTATGCATATAATTTTTTGAATATCATATGAGAATAGAATTATAAAACATTTTCTGAAGTACAAAATTCACTAATGTGTATGTACTATATACTGAAAACTGATAATTGAGCATCATTTGTTTTGTTTTCATTGTATTGTTATAACACGTGAAGGTTTAAAAAAGTATATAGATCAAGGAGGTATAGCTAAATTGATGTGTAAATTTCCACTGCTAACGAATTGAGGAAGGGAAATGATAATCTCCTTATTATCTTGAGACAGCATTGCAGTCTTCAGGCAGGACATTTCAACTGTCGAATTCTGTACCAACAAGCAACAAGCCTAACGCCTCGTAACTCTTGCATATCAGGATTTGAATATATGTTTATTATACAGATCAAACGGCTAGAATGACAAGAAACAAATCAGTGTCACCTTTTTACAAGCATCAATATTGTATACAACATTTGACATTTTCAGTCTTATTACTACTTCAAGTTTACAGTCTGAATATACGTTCTGCTAGCTCGTATGTGTGTGTCTTCTACATTAATCAACCGGATCAACACTGTTTGGCTAGATCATTCCGTTAGAACGAGGGAAGATCGTGAAACTCCTCTAGGCTTTTTAGTAATATACACTTACATATTGACAAAGTGCATTTTGAAAGAAGGAAGTGAGACGTTCCCCTGTTTGCTTAGATAAAGTCATTATAGCAGGTCATTTCAATGCTCAAGTAAGGAAGTTGAACAAAACTGAGAAACATAGTGGGGATGACTCATAGACCTTAATGCTGATGAACCGACAACAGTGGTTATCTATTATAATTTTGTTTAAATAAGTATTGTTTGTAATATGCGTAAACTTCAAATATTAAGGGATATACTGTCTCAACCAGTTGTTAGTTATTGGTGATCGATAACTGTTTCTTCTGAAACACCTGCATGGACTCTGACCATATATTAGTCTGTGTGCATGAATCTTCAACTAGAAGATTATAAGTTATTCTCCATGAATGCCTCTTTCATCAAAATTTATCAACCAGTGACAAATATAAATTACTGATCAACTGTCTAATGAGATGGTATTTAGTCGAACAGTAAGGAAAATAAATGGTAAAGTGAATAATAACTTGAACATACTATCGGATTCAAAATAACTAGCATCCAAAAATGAAATGTTCAAAGAACTCTCAGCCAAGAATACCTGTCAGCGTTGAATGCCAAGATCGCAATATTATGTAGACGCCACAAAGAACAAAGATGAACTGTTTTCAGAGAAAAGTCTCGAAAGATTGCAAAACATATATATATTATTACTGTATATATGTATATATATATATAGATTGATTTTTTTAAATGAACTCTGTGCAAGTATATTGAAATTGTTTCTGTAAATATATTTAATAATGACTTTGGTCTGTAAGCAGCTGATGAGAAGCCAACGAAGTAAATGATGGTACCATTTTATGCTGCAAAAACTGCTGTCTATGCTTTAGTCAAGTTTGTAAAGGCTTTTCGTTCGATGATGGAAGAGCAACAAGAATTTCAGCCAAACTTGAGTGTTCAGAGAAGAATTCCACAGATAACTGGAAACACTGATGGGCGAGGCCCTGAATGCTGACATCAGAATCCTGATGGGCGGTATCAGTGTCGAATCGGGAGATAAGAATACAGGAAGAAAATTGATTTTGGATACGGGGATCTTCAGTGGAATGAATGAGACTAGTGAAACCTTCGAAGACTTCTGTTTATTTAGTGGTTTGGTGATTGGAGGAAACATGGACGTGTAAGAGGACGTACACAAGTCGACGTCAATTTCACTCTACAGACACACCACATTTTTGATTGATTTCATCGCAATCTGAAGAAAGTGGAGATGCAGCCTGTTGATTACAAAATGGAGGTGAGGATCAGGTATGAGTTCAGACCACTTTCTAGTGTAAGGAACTTAAAACGTCAAGTTGAAAGCCTTCGAAGAAGCCGGAGGTACACCAAAATTTATTTTCAGCATTCAGGAACTGAAGGACACAACCCATGTAGCCATCATAAAAAAGTCGGAGATATCATTTAGCATCAGCAAGGAAACCCATATGGAAGGACACGAGAACTCTTTGAGAGTGGTGTAAAGAAGAAAAGACCGAGGAGGCTGAAAGGAATGTTTATTTGGTGAAACGTATTGTACATAGCTAAATTTGGTATACCATATTTTCAACCTGCCATTTGCACATCATTTACCACATCCTTGACGAATTGGTCGAATATCGTCACATTCGATAGCTTCTTGGATTCTGCATCATATGGCAACATTCTTCTCATGGTTCTCTTCTTTGATTGCTCTTTCCAGTGTGCCAAACATATTGTTACTTTTCTGAATTCGTTTCTGATATACTACTTATATCGGATTATAAGTAGCACTCACCACAGTGGTGCTGGAGTACACCTCCGTAGTTGTCTTAGGTAGGAAGAATACTCGAAATAGGGAATGGTTCTCAGAGAATGCTTGGAAACTTATAAAGAAGAACGGAATCGTAAAGCAGAAAATAAGCCAGTGACAGGATTGAGAGCGGAAAGCTAGGGAAAACAAACGACAGTTCTATGACACACTAGCAGCTTAAGCAGAACAGACTGCAGCTAGGGGAGACCTCAGAACACTTTAATAAATAATCAGGTCTGCAAGTGATATGAGGAGCAGAGGAAAATAATGTTATTAGAAGATACTCAACTATCAAAGAGGTGACACAAGGGGAACGCTAAACCAATCGTTTCGAAATACTTTTCGGTCAACCACCATGGACACTTTATCCATAAGTGCGAATAAAAGCCGCAGAATTGCCGCTGAACACCAGTTGGACGACAGTAACTGAATAACATAAATTCATCGAAAGATGGGAAGACAGCTAGACCAGATGGAATTCGTTCGGAAGCACTGATGATCATGACCGGAAAAATAAGACAGACCTCCACTGATCTCAAACCAGAGTGGAAATCTCCTGCACTCAAAACAAAGAGCAAGACGCTAATTTTGAACATCAATGCCAAGTGAATTCTTCCACAGTGTTCGGAGATATGTTACGATACCAGGTGTATTTCCGACAGGCCTCAAAATTTTTTCAACAGCTGTGTTCCCTCCATAGTAAAAGTCAGATGGCTTCAAAGGACTGACACAAACGCTGGCAGCAAAACTGCCGAAGACCTACTGCAAAGCAAATGCACAAAGACAAATGCAGATGTATTGGATATACGCTGAGGAGACCACTGAGATACACCAAGAAACGGGTCTTGGGTAGAACCCGAATGAGGGATGATGAGTCAAGCGCCCGAGTCTGGTATAGAGGAAGCCGCTTGGAAGGAGATGAGTGCTTACCGACGACCATGAAGTCAGATGAAAGGGATTGCAGAAAACAAGATGAAGTATGGATGTGCTGCTGAAGTTCTGTGTTCCACTTGTAATACAGGGGAATATTAATGGTATGATTATAATTGGGCGGAATGACGATAAAAATTATATTCGTCATTTAGAAATTACACAGTTCTACGCGAACTCGGCCTCGGACGACAATGCATCTCGCGACAAGCAGTATGTTTTCTCCACTAAATGAGGCCCATCAGTATCTCGATCTAACTATACTTTCCACTCCTCCTCCTATCTTAGGAGAAACATGTATCATAGGTAACTGAAACAACTGCATACTTTCGGTTGTTTGCTTGGGGTGAATTCGTCGGTTCCGCGCGAGGCCAACTGACAGTTAAAAACTACTACAAAACAGTAACATTATCCAACAGTACGCACCCATGGCCTTTCTAGGGGTTGGGCTTAGGACCCATCGATTATGTAGTGAGCCTGCTGACCACTTGACTACTGAAACGGAATCGAATGATCTGTGAATTTTAACTTCTGCCGATAGCTGGTGTCATAGCCAAACACATGTAATCACGCCTCGCTTGGTAGACCCATGGTTACCAACCTGTCTGTCAAATTAATCACCAAAACTACTAGCCAAAAGTACGTGTTCAGGAAGAAGATATCAACTGCCGCTGAACTTGTATTTCGTCGGCGCTCTGGTAGCCAATTTAACGTCGCATAGAATAAGGAAGTACATTCGCCATTCACTATCGTACGACACAGAAAGAGAGCTGTGCAATTTTTACGGGAGGTATGGTCTCCACCTGGCCACCAGTGGAAATACTGAAATACCGAATCACTGAAATTCTTCTGAGTGACCACAATATTTAAGGTGGAAGACACTCTAGACTGACCTTCGAAGAAGTTTATCGAAGATTCATTTTCTTATCCTTGTGGATTGAAATACATGGTGGCCAGTATAACTTTCAAGGAACAAAAGCTCGGCAGCTTAGTTGTGCGTGGTCATCTACTTGCACACTCTGCAAACTATAGTCAAGAAATACACACTAGTTACTAGTGTCAAATCAAAATATCCACTACAGTCCTACGGGAGGTCAATCGCAAGCCCGAATAGCTCAGTGATAACGTCCCTGACTGTAGCACTGGATGATGCGGGTCCGAATCTCAGAAGGGACATGAGTTCCTTCAAGGTTGCAGATACGCCTTGCTGACTGGTGAGTGCCAACTAGCACGAAACCTAGGCCCAAGGCTTACTGCCGATCGCCTCCAACCATCTAATGTCATCACAAACAATGTACACGGTGATGGCGAGCTACCTAGAATGGTGGCCACATTATAACGTGACTGATAGAATTCAGTCTGCACCAAAGAGAGGACTAGACGCATCACACTAGTTACTATTGTCAAATCAAGGAACTACACCTTTCAGCAGCCGCAAGTTTCATGT